AGAGAAAAGAGAAATAGTGACCCTGCAGAATTCTGTGCAAGTCCTCTGGGAAGCAGGTGTTTTTTTTGCAGCTGTGGGAATAGGCTGTGACCTACTTCAAATAGGTACCTCAGAGCATCTTATCGCACCTTACCGTCTCACAACCATTAACAATGTTTCCATATACTAGCAAATCTTTTAACCAGGTACTTTACAATGGGGGAGGAAGAATTTTCTTTTCTGTGTTGTTTTTTTGTTTTTACTTCTATAGAAATATATTATTTAAAAAAAAAAAGTGATATTAGAATATCACTTATTTTTGGAGTATTGGATTTGGGGATAACCTTTGTGTCTTTCCTGTTATCCAGATGCTGGCAGAATGAAACTGAAGGGAACAGAACATCTTGTATTGTTCAGATTTAATACATGCCATACCATTGCTTTCACTTTCTTTCTGCATCTGCTCTCGTTCTAGTGAAGAGCTCTTCATTCTCAAAGGTTATACTTTCTGTATGGCAGTAGTGTTATCTGCTGTCATGGAAAAAAAAAGTCTAATTTATTGGCCAGCAGAACGTTTTAGCAGAGAGAGACTACAAGCTCTAATGAACGTTACTGAGTGAAACTATCTGAAACTACATATATACATGGATGTAACCCAAACTTCATTTACATTTTTTCTAATATCTCTTTAAAGATAAATATCTGTTTAAAACATCTAATATTTTCTCTGCTAGCTCCTTAAAAATAAACCAGTGATGTGATTTTCCTTCTGAAGAGTCTTACATAAAGCCCTACCTCTTAGAAAAATACGTCTCTCAAAAAAGTACGGAGCTGAAATTCAGTATAACTTGTCACATTTTAAGATGCTTTAGTGTCAGCTACATGCTTAGTAATCTTTGACTACACGTGAAAAACACTGTTATATCTGTACTCCTGGCTCTTATGCTGTTGTGACTCTTTTCTTTCAGTTGTGTCTGTCTTAGGAAGTTTATTCCTTGTATGCTTGACCACAGGCTGCTGTTGTCATGATTTCAGTATAGAAAGTTGGCTTTTAAATGCAACCTGTGGTAGCAGAGGCTGTGTTACCGACTGGCCTCCTCCAGGCTTCTGAGCGCATAACTGGGTTACGCTGGCCTGCCTTCAGCAAATCTTGTGTTGTCTTTCTTCCACAACACTTTTCCTCTGAGTCACGTCTGCAGGATTAAGACAGTTTATAGCTTGTCAGGGAATAGATTCCACCATGTTTTTATGGTATCTAGTTGCAACAAAAAACCTGAGCTGGCTGCAGAGCTAGCATGACTACTACAATAAATAAACCCTCAAAAATGGGCAAAATAATCAGTTCATAAGCTTTGGTGTCATAGCATCTGGGGACCACCCTTGTTGCATGGACCTGGGCTCCTTACAGGCTCCCCTGTGGCCCTTGAAAGCCTCCATTTTGGAAGAGGCCCTGCAAGTGCCCCACATCTCCCTGGCCTGTTGTCCTCGCTGCCTCCCGCTCCGCGGCCCCATGCCAGCAGTGCAGCCCAGCAGAGACAGGTAGGTGCCTCTCTCCCTGTGTCCTTTTCCTGTAGGCAGATGCCCCAGAGCTGAGGTTAGTGTCTTGCATGCTCAGCCACTTCTCTGGAAATAATTTTATTAATATCTTAATTTAAGCCATCACCACTGAGAAGACAGCAGCCCCTGACTCTGGCCCCCTTTAAAAAAGAGGTGGGTGACAGCAATGAGCATTGAAAGGGAAATGATATCCTCAGAGCTATCAGCCTTAATACATTTCTAAGGCATATGGTCAAAAATTGTGTTTTTTTAAGATTGGTTGTCTTGTTAAGAATGGGAAGCATTCATAAAATGGATTCCCAGTAGGTAGTCCTACTTTCATGTCTAAATGAGTTGTTCTTTTGCTGTAGGATAGAAGAATGTTTTGTTAGGTCCCATCTGCATTAGCAGTTGATTGTGTTTCTTGGTGATTATTGTTCCCTTCCCCCACCATAGGATAATTATAAACCAGAAGAAAAAACAAATGAAAAGTATTTTCAGCATAGTGCCAGAAAGTTTGATTTCATCATGGATCTCTGGGAGTGTTAAGTGTTTTGTTGTGCTCTTCCAAAGAGATGCCAGAGGTCAATACAGTCCAAGTTTGAAGCTGTGAATTAAAAACAGGGAGGCTTCATTAGTCCTTCTGGATTAAGGAGTTCCTACCTTTCCCCTTCAGCTGCTCCTTCCTGCTCCCATGCTCCCATCTCAGCTGTGCTGTCCCGAGGGTTTTGAACAGGATGAGAGAACTGACCTGGGTTCAAACAAAAACTTTACGGATAGAGGTGTAATTTCTAAGCCTGATGAGTTCCCTGATTTGTGCACCAATCTGCCTGTGCAAAGAGTAGTGTTGACACGCTGCAAAATTGGGATGAGCCCGAAGGGTGGAGGGGGAGTGGAGGAAGAGGAGCTCCTTCACTGCTAGCGCAGCTGGAGCTCTGCTGTCTCTGTGCAGCCCCAGACAGCCCCTCCGGTCTCCCCTTCCAGCCCAGGTGTCTCTGGGCACGGTCTCAACTTTACCAGTGCTCTTCTGAAGCAGAGGAAGATGGTGCCAAGTGGCCCAAGGCAGGCATTAAACCATTTTTTCCCTGTAACCTGAGTGCTACGGTTAAGGTTAACTGAGGTGGCTGCTGCAAAGGCTTCTGATGAGGTCTGCTTAGGCCAAAGGATGGGTACCTACGGCCTGTTAGCTCGAAGGGGAAGCCAGTGGGAATTGGATGCTTTGGCAGCTCTGAAAATACTGGTAGGAGTCTGTTTGTCTCTGTACAAAGAATACAGGCACCTAAATGTGCCTTCTAACCCTTGGCTCTAGATCTGAGTGTGAAGTACAATGTTAATGTTGAACAGATAGGAGAGATAGGTGAGTAGGTGCTCCCTGTTTTACAGGCCTGCTTACCATTATAAATGTTAATGTTTCATTCTGCTGGAAAAGGTCAGCTGTTTTTGCTTTTTACCTTTCTGCTGGGTGAACGCTAGTGAGAAGTTGGAGTGAAGGAACTTGGCATGCCTGGTGTTTTGTATGGCTCACCTTCGTTCCTGGCTTTGTATGTGCGTTTCATAATTCATGCATTCTGAGGTAGGGTGAAGCTGACTTGGTGTTAAGTGCTGGCCAGTGGTACTTTGCATGCCTTTGCTGCCTCTTTTGGAGGATTTCAGAGGTCTTTACAAACTCGGAACTGCTTTTAATGGCACAAAGTGGTTGTCCCATTACTCACTGATGGCTTTAGGTTCTCCCATATGAAGCTCACAGGAAAAGTTAAAATGACAAAGCAGCATGGAAAGGGACTACGAGAATAAGACTCTCAAGTGCACCCATTAGCCCCTATTGCTGTAGGAAAGCCTCAGAGAAAAGATGGGAATTCAAACGTGAGACATCAGAAGACTGGTTGCCCTCTTTTGGTCAGGGACACTCCTCTGAGGTTTACGCTCCTCCCTTTCTTACAAGCTCCATGGGGTTTTACTGTGCAAGCCCTCTTCAGGGTGACCTGCAGAAAGAGGAGAACGTCCTCAGTGTTTTATAGCCCTGGGAGACTATAAATCTTCACACTGTATTTGTTAACTGTGTTGCACATCCTGAATAATTTATATAACAACATCATACAGGCCCTAATCCAGAGAGGAACCTGTGGAAATTTAACTCGTACGCACTTTTTCTTGCATGTAATTGTTTTTAATGAGGTGCATTAACTCTCCTAGCTCTGTGTTACACTTACTGGAAGACAGGGTTGAGGTACAGCCTGACAGAGGCTATTTTTAAGGCATTACAGAACTGGATGCATCTTACTGTACAATAAAACATGCAATTGACAGATCTGGAGGGGAGATGTGGCACCCTCATTTCACTCAGACAGTTACTAGCTACAGTTGACTCGGTATGTTTGGTGGCAAAGGAGCTGCTGACATACAGCTTTCAAAAAACCTAGTATGTTATGGTGCCCGTGTGGCCAGTGCCGTCCTGCAGAGGAAGGGTCTGGGAGGGTCTTCTGAAGATGCCAGGCATTGTTTTCTGCAGCACACAGGCTTAGAGGAGCCTGGGGTACCTTCTGGTTAACAGGAGTGTGCTGTGTTCAGCCCTCCCTGAAAAATGTTTCTCCACAAGATGTCCACAGTTCCTTCCAGCTGGACATCATCAAGGGTTATTTTTTAGTTGGGTTTGGTTTTATTTTCAAATAAACAGATTTTTAGAGGTGCACTCCTCCCCTCTCAGAAACCAAACCTCTTTCCTGATTACTTCTGATTAGTATGGTTTGGCGTGGGTGACAGATGCAAAGGGATATGCTAATAGTGGCAGGCTAATCTGAGAAGACACCGGTGCTGCTGAGAAGGGGCTGAGCATGGCAGCATCTGCAGGGAACAGCTGGAGTAGCCCTGGGGACAGGGCAGCTAGAGGCAACTCTGCCTCGCCGTTTCTGTTTCCTTGCAGCAGTGATGCTGGCAGCTTTCTCACCTCCTGAAATGCAGCGCTTTTTCACAGAGGCAGCTTTTACTTCTTCCCTGTGTTGACTGCCCCAAGCGGGATTTGTCACTGCTGCCTTAAAGATTACTTTTTTGCCTCTTGGCTAATTAGTTCATTCAAGTAGGCTTGAAACTTTGTCTTAGGAAGCTCATTAGCTGGAAAACAAGACGTGTCCCATTGCTAAGTAGGAGCACTCATATGTTGAATTCTAATGATTATACACAGTGTTTCCAGGAACCGTGTCAAAGTGCACGTATATTTAAAGAAATTATATGAACAAACGAATCTAAAATGATAGTTGCTTGTACGTGTCTCTTGCTTGACAAATGAATAGAAATTTACTTTTGTTTTTAGTACGTTGTCATTTGCATTTTCCAGCTTTGACCAGCTTCTAGTAGGTGGGCGACGGTACTGAGTGATTGAGAAAAGGCAGCTAGTAGTTGCGGGGGTTCTAGGGAAGAACGGAGGCCCCCTTTTTTGCTTCGCTCGCGGGGCTCGCGCGTGCTGGGGCTTTGCACAAGGATTCAACTATTGTCAGGTTTATTTATTTTTTGTATCTGAACCTCACCTGAAAGGGACCTGAGCAGTCACAACCGTTTCCTAAGCTATTTTAGAAATTCTTAGTCGTTGGAGGGGGGTAACTGTGGAAAAGGTTGAGGCTGAAACTCTAGTGGCCAGCTCCACACAGTAATAAGGAAAACGCCAGTAGGTTTGCTGGGAAATTAGTGTGAGCACAACTGCTGTTAAATTCTCTGAATATATCAAAGAGCCTTATTGTTGTACTCAGGTTTTAATTCCCTATTAGTTTCAGGAAATACATGTCCTTAGAGCAATGAGAGGAAACTTCGAACGCTTTTCTTCCTCTTGTGCTGGGTGTGGGCTTGGTGCTGCCTAATTGTTCGTCTGTCTGATGCCTGTAGTTCCATAGGGGAAAAGAACAAACCCATTTACATTTGTGTCATTGCTGCGTGCTTTCAAACATGTGGCCTAGTTTGTTTCTTTTCTTTTCTTTTCTTTTTTAAGATCAAAGGTGACAAGAAAAGCAGAGCAGAGAAGTGCAGAATGATGCAGGGAACACAGATGTAAAGAACAAAGGAGAGACGAAGGAGCCGAATCTGGTGTAGTGGGGAGAGAAGAAGCCTAAATGCAAGTACTTGAACGTGGAAATGACTCACTGCAGGCTGCTTAGCAGGAGTTTAATGTGGTGCTTTGATCTGCATGTAGTGGTGGTTGGCAGTTTCAAAGAGGTGCCTGAGATAGGTTAATATTTTTAAAATTTCTGTCTCGGGTTCAAGACTTTGGACTCTAATGTCAATAATTTACAGGTCTAAACAGGGAAATGGCATCAGGGTCACGTGTGTGTGTGTGTGTGTGTATGTATGTATGTGTGAGAGAAATAAGTCAGTCTGAGCCTTAACTGCATAATGAAATGTGTCTCGGTTCAACTGAAATGGCTGTAGACCACTCACTAAAGCAGTATTGAAATGTAAAATAGCAGCTAAAAAAAGTAGTGACTGGGTTGATCAGAGAAAGCTGAGGAGGGCACTCCTACTCAGCTAGAACCAAAATTGTCTCATAAATTACTGGAGCGTAAAATATATTTTTCATAATCTTAGTCAAGTTCACAGGACAGAAACAGCCATTTGAAGACACTGTAGTTAGTAGATGCAGCATTTCAACTGGTACAGTGATGTCTCTCGCATGTATGTGTATATTTTTATTTTTTTTTATATATATATTTTTTTTTTTACAATTTTTTTTTCCTTGGCAGAAAAACCCTCCTGTGCAAATACAGGTGCATGGGCCAAAATAGGTCTCTTTAGGAGCTTAGTTGATTTCCTTTGTGCCCCTGGTAGGCTGCCTTTGTCAGCAGAAGAACTTTTGCCATTTTGATGAGCCTTCAGTTAAAGGGTTTACTAGCAGAGGTATACCAGAAGACCGTTTTCTATGGTGGAGAAGGCTTTATAATCTGAGTTGCTCTTGTGGGAGGCTCCCCTGCAAAGTCGAAGTCAGTATTATGTTTGTGATAATTACACAGCTGCAAATCTTCAATAAGTATGTCTATCTGTCTCTTGGGCTGAGACGGGGGAACTGCAGTTTTGCCTAGAAAACTCGTGTAACGTTGTCCCTTGTTGTCTTCAGCTCCTTCTAACGCAAGTAACAATGCCTGTTGAAAGAATGCGGATGCGCCCATGGCTGGAAGAACAAATAAATTCTAACACTATACCAGGGCTGAAATGGCTAAATAAGGTAAGGTCTGCCTGCCTATGTTTGAGCAAGTGTTTGCTAAATGGATACTTTGTAGCGGGGTCTGAGTGTGAGTTAAGTAAATCTGTGTTTCTGGTTTTCGAAGGGGCAAGGTAGGGAAGAAAGGCAAAGCTGACTGC